GACTTGGTGTTGTCAGCACCACGCTCAGCCAGTGAGCGAACCGGCCATCCCTGTATGGGATCCGAACCCGGGGCCTTGGTGTTATCAGCACCGCACTCTCCCGAGTGAGCCACCGGGCCGGCCCTGGGTATCCAGTTTTGAGAAAACTGATGCTCGGGGGAGACTAAATAACTTATTCAAGATGGCAGGGCTGGTTAGTGTGGAGTACAATTCAAACCCAGGTCTGACTCCACCAAAACCACATTGTTTTTTGTTTTGAACCTTTAGTAAAAGTGATAAAATGAATGTAAAAAGAACACAATATCGAAAACTTAGCGTGAATGCGCATCTCACTTGATGGTACAGTGCAAATTTTGTTCATATTATTTTATATTTTTACAAACTCAAACACTTTGGTTCATATATCTGCTATAAACTATTGGTAAAAAAATTCTTCAGATTCACATTTTTTTGGCTATTAATTCTAACAGATACAGATTATTTCCACTTTAGGAAAAAGAATACTCATTGCTTGTGCATAATCAGGTATATTGTAAAGATTCACCTACTGTTTTCATCAAATTCTGTTTTTTCCTAAAATGCTGACGTCTTCATTGAAATTTTTTTCACATAAGTAATCATTTGTTTTTATTTTCAGAAAATTTATGAGACCACTCCAAAGTTCAGAACGAGCCGATTTTCTTTTAAACAAAACCACAGATTTAGGTCTCTTTCCAACTCTTTATAAGCTCAACCCTACCCATCTACGTATAAAAGCTGCACCTAAGGACAACCACAGAAACGACAATAACCGAGGCAGCTAACATTTACTCTCGCCTCGTGCTGTTCTCAGCGATTTGCAGATGCCCTACCGCGTTGAATCCTACAACTCTAGGAAGAAGGTGCTTCATTTCACAGGGAAAAGGCTCGGGGCGAAGGAACACTACTCACTGATGAGCACCCAGAGCTGTCTCCTTGCAAAGCTGTGGGTTTCAGCTCCTTTCTTGTGCCGCCTCCCCTCCCGAGTTCAATGCAGGAGAACAGCAAGGGCAGCTGATGTGTTCTGAACACGTTTCGAGCTCCAGGAGGGTTGTACGGTTAAGTGCAGTTCCTGTACCCATTGCACAGGGGCGGAAACTAAGGCTCATAGAGCCGGGAGTCCTCCAAGTTCCATCCCTGGTCCTTCCTCGCCGAACCCTGGGATCCCTCCCCCGCACGCCCCTGCTCACCTTCTTGAGCTTTCGCTGCTGCACGACGCGCGCCTTCTTGGGAGCGATAACACGACCTGGGGAGAGACGCAGGCGCGTGAGGCCGGGGATTCCCGGGACCGCCACGCCCCCGCCCCCGGGGGGGGGGGGGGGGGGGCCCGCTCCTCACCGCCTTTCCTCGGGCCCCGGTTCCGCTCGGAGGCGGTCGCTGACGTTTTGCTCTTCGCGGGCTTGTGCGCTTGAAACTTGCGCTGCCCCTGCGCCATGATCGGGCATGAGCCGGAAGAGACGGGGCTGAGAGCCCTCATAGGCGGAAGGCGCAGGGCACCATGGGATACAGCGGGGCGGAAGAGCGCAAGGACTCACGGGATCCAACGTGGCATGGAGTTAGAGGGGCAGTACTCGGAAATGGTGGTCGATCACAGCGTTTTGCAAAAAATTGGAACGAAAGGTGATGATAAGCTAACACTTACTGAATGCTGATGTGTTCTGTAAAACTCCTACTGTCTTATGCACTTTATTTTTATTTTTTTATTTATCTATTTTTTAAAAGAGGACCGGTAAGGGGATCTTAACCCTTGACTTGGTGTTGTCAACACCACGTTCTCCAAGTGAGCCACGGGCCGGCCCTGTCTTATGCACTTTATACATAAACTAGAATTAGTATGAGGCAGGAGAGGCATTCACCTCTGGTGCAAAATTTAAGGGGGTGCCAAAAACTTCAGTAATCCCGATAAATCGTATTTTCAAAGTTTAAAAATATTTTCATGTTGGGCAGGCCCGTGGCTCACTCGGGAGAGTGTGGTGCTGATAACACCAAGGCCCCGGGTTCGGATCCCATATAGGGATGGCTGGTTCGCTCACTGGCTGAGCGTGGTGCTGACAACACCAAGTCAAGGGTTAAGATCCCCTTACCGGTTATCTTTAAAAAAAAAATTAAAACCAAATAAAAACAACAAAGCAAAAGAAAACAAAACGAAGAAAATGTTTTAATAGTAAAAGAAATCAAATAGTCAGCTACAGTCTGCAGACTGGCTGCCTGATTTTGTAAATAAAGTTTTATTGGAACCTCAGGTGTGAGGTGCACAAGCTCAAGTTGTACAAGTGCACACAAAGTCCCATTCTCTATTTAAAATATCGATTTTTTTTATCGTGAATTTTTTTGCCTTAATTTTGATTTTTAAAAAATATTGCACTAAAATATTTATCTTGACTGAGCTTTTTTGGTGTCTCCCTTTTAAATTTAGGGTGTCATCCTAGTTCCAGCCCTGATGGCATCCTTAAGAGGGAGGTACTAGTATTATCCCCATTTTATAAATGAGGAAACCAAGGCACAGAGAAGTCACCTGCCCAGGATCACACAGTGGAAAAAGTGGCAGAGCTGGGGTTTGAACTTGGGAGCCTGGCTTCAGCTGCTGGGCTCTTTTTTTTTGGAGGCTGGCCAGTAAGGCCGAACCCTTGCCCTTGGTGTTTACTGCTGGTCTCTTAAAGAGTCATGCAAGGCCCTGTCCGCTCTCCCTGCTCTAGGAAGAAGTGTGGTTGGGGGAGGAAGGTCAGCTTTTGGGAAGGCCATTCAAGACATTTATTAGAAAACCCGGGGGATGAGGGCAGGGTAGGGAGAGCCGGGATGGTTACATCTGGGGTCCATCTAGAGTCCCTTTCTCTGAGATGGTAGTGCTTAGGGCTGCCCGGAGCTCCTTGGGAGTAAAGACACCTAGCTCTGTGATGATGCCACCGGTGATGAGGTCGTGGGGGGTGACATCAAAAGCAGGATTCCAAACCCCAATCCCTGCAGGAGAGAGAAGGGAGGCAAGGAAGCAGGGATTTGCCTCTGTGAAATTCTCAGGCTATTGTCACCTGTCTCTAACATAACGGTTCTTGAGGTTGGGAGCCCTCAAGAATCTGGGGATCCCCATGCCAAAAATGCACAAAAGCATAGACACTGCACCCAGTAATGAGTTTAAATCCCTACCATTCCTGGATTGTCACTAGCCAAGAAGGTTTCAAAGTCTTATACACATCTACCCCACTTTTGCCTGCTGCAAGGATCTATTTATGAATCTCAGAATCTAGCCCAGGGCCTTTGTACCTGTTGTCCCCCCATGCCTGGACGCTCTTCCCCAGATATGCACATGACTTGCTGTTTCTTCTCCTTTAGTTCTTTGCTCAAATGTCACCTTCTCTGTGAGGCCTTCCTTGACCCCCCTACATAAACCTCCCTGTTGGGACACTTCTTCCTATATCCTTCGTTGCTTACTTTATTTCTCTAGTCCTTAGCCCCTTCTAACACACACACAAGTTCATTATTTATCTTGTTTGTTTTCTGTCTCCCCATCTAGACTGTCAGCTCCCTGAGCACAGACACTTCTGTGTCTTTCTTCACTGCTGTGTTCCAGCACCTTGCATGGTGCCTGGCACAAGCAGGCACTAAACATTATTTGCCAAATGGATTAATGACTGTAGATAACCCTTTACACAAGAGGCTGTAAACTGGTGGCCTGCAAATGTGTTTTCTTTGCCTTAGTTTTTTTTTTTTTTTTGTCTTTTTTCCGTGTCCGGCAACGGATCGCAACCCTCAGTGTTGCCCCCGTACCGGACCGGGGACCGGCAACGGGATCGCAAGCCTCGGCGTTGCTCCCGCACCTCGCTCAGCCAGTGAGCGGGAGCCGGTCTGTATGTGGGATCCGAACCCTCGGACGGGAGCGCCGCCGCGCTTCCCAAGCGGCGCACGCCACCGGGCCGGCCCATAATTGTAATTCTTACCATAACTGCTAATATGTGTGTGTGTGTGTGTGTGTGTGTGTGTGTGTGTGTATGTATATATATATATTTTTTGCAGCTGTATTTTTTGCAGCTGGTCAATATGGGGCTCTGAACCCGTGACCTTGGTGTTATAAGGCGGTGCTCTAACCAGCTCAGCTAACCAGCCAGCCCTCATAATTGCTAATATTTAATGAGCTAATATTTAAAGGGCCAGGCACTGTTCTAAATATCACATGGATTAGTTCATAGAAGGCCCTTGGGTTTACGTGGCAGGTTCTACCAACAGATCATCTTACAGATAGGGAACACTGGGGCTCTTAGGGACTTAGAGAACTTAGGGAACTTGCTTATGGCTGCACAGCCAGGAAGTGTGGGAAGCTGAGAAATGTCTGTTTCTCTTCATATGCACTTGCTTAGCAGATATTCTTATTTCTTCTCCAGGTGCAAAAACAGATAGACAATAGGAAGACAATTTGCTCAAGGCCATACAGTTGGCTTGTTAATTGTACATTCTGACCTTGAATCTGACCTCCAAAATTCTCCTGTTGAAGGAGATGGTTATGACTCAGAAGGCCGATGATGCCCTAATGCCACCTGCCCCCGTGAAATGACCAGGTGCTGTGGTGTCCCTGAGCGGCCAGCTTACCGGGTGCTGCAATCCTGACCCCATTAACATCGGTCAGCTCCTGGCCCGGGCGCTCCTCGATGACAATCTCCTGGCCTGTCTCCAGGCGGAAGTCACACGAGGAGCTGGGGGCAGCCACATAGAAGGGGATGCCATGATGTTTGGCGGCGATGGCCAGCTGGTAGGTGCCCACCTTGTTGGCTGTGTCACCATTGGCAACCACACGGTCGGCTCCCACGATGACAGCTGGAGGGCGAGAAGTTGGGTGTCATGACCTGGCCCTGGATGCCCAGAGCCCCGCAGGCCTGCACCCAGCCCGCTGACCTGATATGCCCCGGTGGGCCATGGCAGCGGCTGCCATGCTGTCAGCAATGAGGGTGGCAGGGATCTGCTCATAGACCAGCTCGAATGCTGTTAGCCGGGCTCCCTGGTTGTAGGGCCGGGTCTCTGTGCAGAAGGCGTGCTCCAGGCGGCCCAGGTTGTGCAGCGAGCGGATCACACCTGTGGAGTCCAGCCCACCAGAAGGGCCGGAAGGGGGCAGACGGGCAGGGTGGTTCAGTGGTTAGGGGCACAACAGACTTCTAGGCTGGGTGTGGATCTCCAGAGACTCGCCAATTAGTCCCACCCCCGGGTCCTTGCAATGGCTGTTCCTTCTGCCTGGCACACTCTTCCCAGATGCCAGCAAGGTTCCTGCATCATCTTCACATCTGCTTAGAACACCTTGATGAAGGCTTCCCTGATCCTTTCATCTCATATAGCAACCCCCACACCTCCGATCCCCTTTCCCTGCTCTTTGTCCTCAGCATTTGTCAAATCCAAACACCTCCTAAGTATTTCTTTATCTTGCCTATTGTCTGGCCTTCCTACTTCCCTGGGACCTCTCAAGAGCAGAGATTTTGTCCACTTTATTCACTGAGGTGTCCCTAGTGCCTGTAGCAGTGCCTGGCACACAGCAGGTGCTTAATAAATGTGGGTTGGGTGAACGTATCACAAGGCAGGTGTCTTGCAATCAAGACCTCATTTCCCAGGGATGAGGGCAGAACCCAGGCAGGTAGGGAAATTTCCTGGGTAACTTAAAGTCAAGTGGAATATGTTGCCTTGACCCCTATGACCCATTCCCCCCTTTCCTAGTCACGGCTACCCCAATCTTTCTTTGTGTGTGGGGGTCACTCCCTTCTCAGTCCTCTTGCAGTCCATATCCTGCCCACTCTATAGGCTTATGGCTCAGGCTGAGCCCAGTGAATGATTGATCTGGGATGGGCAGGTGATCCTATCAGAGTCCCTGAGTTACAGGAGACTTTTCTGGAACTCTTAGCTCTTTTCCTCATGATCTGAACCTTGGTAGTCCCCCTGCCAACCTGTGAAGCCTGAGGATGAAGGAGGACAGAGCTGAAGGACAGGGAGAGATGGGTCCTGATGCTATTGATTGAGCCCCTGGATCTAGCCACACCTGAAGCCAACGCCCTAAGTGTTTCTGTACAAGAACTAATACATTCACATTTTTTTTTTTTTTTTTGTCTTTTACGTGACCGGTAAGGGGATAGCAACCCTTGGTGTGGTGTCACCCACACCCCGCTCAGCCAGTGAGCGCACCGGCCATTCCTATATAGGATCCGAACCCGTGGCGGGAGCGTCGCTGCGCTCCCAGTGCTGCACTCTCCCGAGTGTGCCACGGGCTCGGCCCCCACATTTTTTTGTTAGTAAAAGTGGTTTAGGTTGGGATTTCTTTCTCTTGTATCCAAAAAAGTCCATGGGAGGCCCTCCCCATGTCTGAGGATGCCCACTCACCTAGAGCTGTGCCATAGCCAGCAGTGGCCAGTGCACCGGTGTTACAGTGGGTCAGCACGATCACCTTGCCACCCCTGGGGGCCACCCGCTCCAGGAGGTGGCGGGCTCCCAGGTCCCCGATACTCCGATTGTCTCTGAGGTCTTTCTCCAGCATGTCTTCAGCGTAGCGGATCATTCTGGGGCCGACAAGGAGTTTTCAGCACTAGCCACCAGGCCCTGGGGCTCAGATCGGTCCCTCCTCTGAGCACTCCCGCTCAAATACTCTGCTGTAGGGCCCGGGCCCTTCTACCCCCACCACAAAACTGTCACTCCATTTGCTCATGCAACACATGTTACTGAGCACTTCCGGTGTGCCAGGTGTTGGGGGGCATGGCAGTAAACAAGACAAAAATCTCTGTCTCTATGGCTGACAATGGGGTGGGGAGGCACAAACTGGCACCAAAAAGGGGCTCCACTGGCACACGGGGTCTGGGCGTGTTCAGGGCAGGCACAGTTCAGGGGTTGACTTCAAGGATCCCGGGGCCAGGCTGTCCAGGCTCGACTTCCAGCCCTGCTTGTGAGACCGTGGACAAGGGATTTAACTGCGCTGTGCCTCAGTTTCCCCATCTGTAAAATCGGTCGCTATGCTTAAAAACTGACTTAATAGCTTTTGCTCAGAGTGGTGCCTGGCACAAGATCCCCCTACCTCTCCCGGACCACCTCCTCGGTGGCGCCCTCCCGCTCGGCTTCCTGGGCCGCGGCGTCAGCCAGGTCTCGGGCGGCGCGGGCCATGTTGACAGCGGTGGGCCGGGCGGTGACGAGGAAGCTCAGCTTGTCACGCACGAAGTCCACGAGCGCGGCGAGTCCCGGTCCCCCGGCGCCCGCCTGCAGCTCCACGGCGAGGCTGAGGCAGCCCACCAGGGCGATGGCCGGGGCGCCGCGCACCTAGACCGGCGGGATCGGGGCGTCAGGGGCTGCAGGGCCGGGCGCCCTCCCCCCCGTAATAACTTCGTATAGCATACATTATACGAAGTTATACGACATTTGTTTTTATTTTCAGAAAATTTATGAGACCACTCCAAAGTTCAGAACGAGCCGATTTTCTTTTAAACAAAACCACAGATTTAGGTCTCTTTCCAACTCTTTATAAGCTCAACCCTACCCATCTACGTATAAAAGCTGCACCTAAGGACAACCACAGAAACGACAATAACCGAGGCAGCTAACATTTACTCTCGGGAAGCAGCAGCTGGTCGAGGATGTGTAGCGATCCCCGCGAGTAGCGGATGGCCTCCAAGGGCATGGTACCACCGCCACGGTCACACAGCTCCGGGCACGCCGGGAACCGCGCGGAGGGGGCGGGGCCGTGGGCGTGGCCTCCCGGACGGTGGCGCGTGCGCACACGAACCCAGCCCTATGGGTTTCCGGGCCCTGCGGTCCACGTGGCCGAACCCACCACCCTAAGCCCCAAGCCAAGCCCAGACTGACAGTTGGTGGCCTCCTCGGAACCACAAAAGTTCACACCGTTTATGTGGTGCCTACTGGATACCAAGCCCTGTTTAGCGCTTGGCCAGTTAGGGGTCACAGCATTGCCCCCAAATCCCCAGAGGATACCCTTAGATTTCTCCAGCCAGAACGAGTGCTGCCGGTGGCCCCAGGTAGACGAAGGCACTGACTGGGGATTCCAAGGAACCGACCGGCTTTTAGTGGCTGCCTCGAGACCTATCCATTCCCGTGGGAAGAAAAGGCGGCAGTGGCCAAGGCTAACACCTTCCAAAAGCAGGCGTGAGGGCAAATTTCGATTTGCCCAGAGCCTCAGCCCCACGAAGGCAGGGTGTCCATTTTGTTCCCCACTGTATTTCCAGGGGCAAGACCGTGCCTGTGCACATAAATGATCTTTCTTCAAGGTTTAGAGGGAGGTGGTGGTCCTACGTCCCTGGGTGGACGCATGACTGTTTCTGGGTCATTTTCTGCCTGGATTTCTTCAGAAGCAGCAACATGCTGGGGCTTTTTCCACGACCCTTCCATGGGCGTACCCATGGGCTGAGGAGAATGAACAGCCCACACCTGTGTGCTCCAGGCTCAGCTGCACCTAGCATGGATCCTGGGCACCCCGTGTGCCCCAACCCTGGCCTTCCCTGTGTGGTTCCTCCTGCCTCCACACTTCACACTCAGCCCATGTCGCCACCTCCAGGAAGTCTGCCCTGATTCCAGGCCAACCTGAGCTCCTACCTTGAAACCCGTATCACACTGGGTGGGGACCTCGCCTGTAGTCACAGCTGTGCCCCCAGCATCAGCATTTGCTGATAAGAGGCCTGCCAAGGTTGTTTGGGTGGCGGAGAGGGCAGCCCATGGGCCCATTTAGTAACCCAGGTCACAGGCAAAGATACAGGCCTTTAATGTCTGGTTGTCAGGGGTCCCACAAGGCACAAACACCCTAACCAGAACCAAATAAATAACAACTCCATTGTTGCAGGAAGTCGAGGTCTGGGGAGGGGGCGGCATCTGAGCTCTCCAAGGGCTGGTGGGTGAGTGAGGTCTGCAGACTGTGAGGGGCTTCCTGGGTGTGTCCCGGCCTCAGCAGTGGGTCCAGTCCCCGGAACCGCTCACTCACTCTCCGAGTCGGAGTAGTCAGCCACGAGGGAGGAGCCGAGGCTGCAGGGGTGCGGCGTGTCCGGAGGGTCAGCTGTCTCCTGGGAGGAGCCTGGTGGGGACAGGGACTTTTCCTGACAGTTCCCCTTCTGCCCACGAGGCCCACTGGTATTGGGGGTCCAGGTTGTCTCCTCAGGGCAGTCTGCGGGCCTCTCCTGAGCAGACCTTTCTGGCACCTGTGGCTCCCCAGACTTTGGGGTCTCAGCCGCAAGCTGGGGGCTCTCAGGGACTTCTCGGGATGGCCGACGCACAATGCCCAGGTCCCCTACTGTGACAGGGGAACTGGCGGGGGTGGCTCTGCGGCTCTGGACTAACTTCTTCAGGACGCTGCCGGCCTTGCTGCCACTGCTGGTGCTGGGTCCTGGGGTGGAGGGGAACCAGGAGCGGCTGATGATCTCCGTCCGCTTCAGCTTTTGCTTGTCTTCATATGCTGCGGGGGAGAGAACATTTGAGGGAGGAGTGGGGAAGGAGGTCTGAGCTGCCCTCTGCTAGGTCTGCCATAGTCCACTCATGGCGGGACACCCCCCAACTCTCCCCTGCCCCCTGTACTCCTCACGTACAGTCCAGGGTGTGGAACCTGAGCAGGGCGGCCAGTCTGCGGTCATCCTCTGTCTCCGGCACCAGCGGGATGGCCAGGCTGGCCTTAGCCTGCAGCGCCTGATCTCTCTCCTCCTCTTCCTGGATGGCTTTTTTCTTTTCCTGTGTGTGGAGGGAACAGCACCGGGGATAGGGGTGGGGGTGTATCTTAAAAGCCTGCGTCTTCCATGCCCCATGACCCAGGGGGCATCACTCTAGCTCTTGGAATCTCAGATTCCTCCTCTTTTAGCTCCTTAAGTGTGCAGGAAGGGCCTCACACAGTGCCTGGGAAACAGAAGTCACTCAACAAGTGGGAGACACGATTGTCATCAATACAGGTACCATTCAGCCCTTCCTGTTTTTGCTCGCAAATGTTTATGGGACACCCACCTCATGCCATGCCTTGTTCCAGACACTGGGACACAGCAGTGGGCAGACAAGAACCCCTGCCCTTGTGGAGCTGACATTCTAGTGAGTGAGAGAGACAAAGTGGTAAAGAGAGAAAGAGCGAAGGGAACGGGGTAGGGTGTGACTGGCTGGGGTTCAATTTTAAATGTGTGTGGAGGGGCAGGAGGGTCAGTGAAGGTCTCCCTGAGAAAGTCATGTTTGAGAAAAGACATTTGAGGGAGGGAGCCACATGGGTATCTGGAGAAAAAGTGTTCCAAGGTGGTGGAACAGCTTGTGCAAAGGCCCTGAGGCAGAAATGTGCTTGGAGAGGCTGAGGAATAGCGAGGAAGCCCGTGTGGCTGGAGCAGAATGAATGAAGGGAAGATGGAGGGAGGGGTGGGGGTGGTGGCGGGGAGATGCAGGTTGTGCAGGGCCTGGCTGCCCACGGGGAGGATTTCTGCTTCTATTCTAGGTGAGGTGGGAGCCATGGAGGGTTCTGAGCAGAGGGGGGATGTGATCTGACACAGGTGCTCAAAGGCATCCTCTGGCGGCTGTGTGTGAGGGAAATAGACGGTGGGGGACTGGGTGGGAACTAAGGGACCACGAGGGGGGTGCCCATGCTGGTCCAGGCAGGAGATGACGTGGTAGGTGACAAAAGTGGTCAGATACTAGATATTATTTAAACGTAGAGCCTGAGAGAATCTACTAACAGACAGAAGGTGGGGGTGGGGGGTTGTGATTATAAAAAGAGGAGTCCAGGCTGACTCCAGGCTCTGGGGCCTGCGCCTGGAAGAACGGAGCTGTCTCTGTTACTGAGAAAGGGAGAATGCAGGTGGGGCGGGTTAGGGACCAATCAAGGCTCACTGGGATATTAAGTTTGAGGGGGCCTTAGACCCCCCCCAAATGGAGATGCCCAGTAGGCAGAAACACACAGATCCGGGCAGAGGCCGGCTGGAAGGTTACACTTTCACTAAGAAATAATTAGTAAGAAAACTTGTAATTTTATTCCTAATAGTAATGACCACAGAATCATCAGAAAAAGGACAGGAGCAGTAGGATGGGGAGACCAGAGCTTGTGCCCCACAGGGTGGCCTGGACACTTCTGCTTGGGCTCTGTGTGAGGTGCCCAGGGATACCAGCCGCCCCACAGAGCGAGGGAAGAAGGAGAAGGTTCTTATGTCCTGCAGAACTTTCCAGTGCCTCTGTGGACGCCCTCAAGGGTGAAAAACCCCTTTATATTATACTCCTCTGAACCCGGACCCTAACTCATTCTGATAAAGCTCCATGAAGTATTTTTGCTCAACTTTAGTGGCCATTGTGGTCACTGACAGCAACAGCCCTGGTGTCCTCCTCACCAGGACAGTGCCCCTGGCAGCGTGAGCTGATAGGTGTTTGTACCTGCATCTTCAGGAACTCAACACACAGGTTCAGGTGTTTCATCTGACATTTACATATTGAAGTCTGCATTGTTTTATTTTATTATAGATGACTTATCCTTTTTTCTGTTCTGTTTATGGCACTCCAGGGATGGTTCTGCAAATTATGTGGGGGCGGGTTGATGATGTAGGGATTTCATTTCAGGATGGTTAAGTGGGCCCACGAACTGTGCTAGGAGCCGACCACCCAGGTCACTGCTCTGCTGGGCACAGTACTCTAGGTCTGGCCTGGCTGTCCCACAGGCTCCCTGGGCCTCATATATGCCCCAGCTTGAGGCTTTCTTTCCCTTTAAGAATCTGCTGAGAAGGAGGCTGTCTCCCCAGGGGAAGGGATGATGTGCTCAATAATAGCCACCTGACTAGGCACCTGTCACAGGCAAGGTGCGGTAGGGGCATGCTGTGGTATGAATGTTTGCATACCCAACAAATTCATACGTTGAGAGTTAATCCCCAATGGGATAGTATTAAGAGTTAGGGTCTCTGGGGAAGTGATTACATCACAAGGACTCTGCCCTCATGAATGGGATTAGCGCCCTTATAAAAGGGCACTAATGCTCAGTTGGTTAGAGCACAGTGTTATAACATCAAGGTCAAGGGTTCAGATCCCCACACCTGTCAAAAACAAAAAAAAAGAAGCTCAAGGGAGCTTGTTTGGGAGCTTATTTGTCACTCTGCCATGTGAGCTAGAAGGCACCATCTATGAGGAAGGGGCCCTCACCAGATAGTGAGTCTGTGGGCACCTTGATTTTGGACTGCCCAGCCTCCAGACCTGTAAGCAATAAATTTCTATTTTTATAAATTACCCAGTCTATGGTATTTTTGCTATAGCAGTCCAAATGGACTAAGATGGGGTATGAATTCCATGCTGCAGATGGAAAAACAGAGGCTTAAAGGGTAAACTGACCTGCTCACAGCTAGGACAAGGGGGGGTAAGGACTGGACCTACTTCAGGTCTGCCTGGATGCCAGCAACCTGAGACCCCTGCCTGCCTGTGGTCCCGACTCTGGGTCGGAGCCCTGCTCACCCGGAACTGTCTCCGCAGCATGCTGTTGAGGGCGAAGTCGTCCTTCCAGGCGTTCTGGGCCTCTTGGATGTGGCTCAGGGTAGGCAGTGCCTTCTTGAGTGTGCTCCGGTCAGCCTCGCCGTGCTCCAGGCGGAACATGGCATCTGTCTCCAGCTTCTGCTTCTTCTCATGCTCTGCAACGATGAGAGCTCAGCTGGGCCTTTGGAGCCCTGGTGTGGGGTTGGGGCTGGCCTGGGACATGCTGGGCGGTGCTCACCTGTGGTCAGCACCTGCTCGTTCTCCACCATGTCCCAGCGCTCCTCCTTGCGCTGGGCACCACTCACGATCACATAGTCACAGTTGGCGGGGTCTGTCTGCATCTCGATGTAGTTGACGCAGAGGTGGCATTTCATCCGGAACCTGGGTTGGGGGGTGGCAGACGGGACTCAGGATTCTATGCCCGCATCCCAGGATACCCGCCTGCCTCCTTCCATCTGCCATTCATTAAGAATTCACTGAGAACCTACCACGCCCTGAGCTCTCTGTCTGGGAGTAGAGCTGTGGGAAAGACAAGACACTACAGAGAGGCTGAAGTTGGCTCATTCGTTCATTCATTCACCTGTTCATTTGTTCATTCATTCATTCTTGGTTCATCATTCATTTGTTCACCCATTCGTTTGTTCATTCATTCATTCCTTTATTCATTCATTCACCTGTTCATTTGTTCATTCATTCATTCTTGGTTCATCATTCATTTGTTCACCCATTCGTTTGTTCATTCATTCATTCCTTTATTCATTCATTCACCTGTTCATTTGTTCATTCATTCATTCTTGGTTCATCATTCATTTGTTCACCCATTCGTTTGTTCATTCATTCATTCCGTTGTTCATTCGTTCACCTGTTCACTTGTTCGTTCTTTGTTCACTCACCTGTTCATTTGTTCATTCCTTCACTCATGCATGTTTGTTCATTCATTTATTCACTCATTTATTTTTCATTCGTTCATTCAATAAACCCACCAAGATAGGTGCTCTGTGGCAGGCTCTGTGCCAGCTGCTGGGGACACTGCTGAGCAGTGGAGGGAGCCAACTTGCTCTTGGACGGGCTGATGTTTCAGCGGGGGGCATATCAATGGAAAGGACAAGCAATCCTAGCATCGAGTGCTGCTTTAGAAAAGGCTTCTCTGAGTAGAAACCCAAGGTGAGGGAGGGAGCTTTGTTGCTATCTAGAGAAGAGTGTTACTGGTAGAGGGCACGGAGGTGGGCGCATCCCTGGGGTGTGTGAGGGACAGCATGGAGTCTGTGTGGTTGGAGCAGAGTAAGTGAAGGGAGAGTGGGAGGTGAGGACAGGAAAGGGATGGGCACAGCATGCAGGGCCCTGTGAGCAGGGGGAGGACTTGGGTGGGAGCTATGGAGGGTTCTGGGCAGAGCGACATGTCCTGACTGACAGCCCAGAATGGTTTCCAGGACAGTCCTGCAGGGAATGGCCAACAGAAGAGGGTACGAGCTTCTCTCCCACTCAGACTCTTTGTAGCCTGTGGCCACCCCACCTGACTCCGAGATGCCACCAGGCTGCCCTTACCTGTAGATTGGGGTTGTGTAGTAATTGCCAACCTTCTTCTTCTCTGCGTTGTAACGAACACCTGGGAAGGGAGGAAAAGAGTGGAGACTCGGGCTGGGGCCACCTCCAGCATCTTTTCTCTAAGTGGGGAGGCAGATGGGGGTGATATTTCACTGCCTGGAAGCAGGGGCATCTTGGGAGGATGCAGAAATTCAAGGAAAGAGCTGTGTTGACAGGTATTCAAGCCACAGAGGAGGGTGGGCTGAAGCTAGAGGGCCTGGGTTCAAATCCCGACTCCACCACCTATCTGTTGTGTGACCTTAGGCCAGCTGCCTTGTCCCTCTGTGCCTTAGTTCCCTGTCTATTCAGCAGGGATGATTATACAGCCTCATGCACAGGGCAGTGGAGAGGACTGCAGGAGCTAATACGTAGGAATTGCTGTTAACAGGGCCTGGTGAGTGTTTAAGGAGGGGTGGCTTTTGTTATTTTTTTAGAGAATGTTCAGATTTTTTTTTCTGGTTAGATAATATTTATTCTTGACTCTAATCTTGCTTACTGAGTGAAAAAAGCTTAAACTAGAAAAACAGAGCTTGGGCTGGTGGATGGTGTGATCTGGCTTGGTTTTCCTTTCCTAAGTGGCTGCTTTAGTTCACAGCCCTGAGGGTGACTTGTGTGTGGTGCCAGGGGCAGTCCCAACTTTGTCTGTCCCCTGAGTGACTGGTGGCTTATCGGGCAGATGCCCAGCTGGCTCTGATCAGAGGGACATGTTAGAGGCTCACTCATCCTTCCTGGCAGTGAGGTGGCCTGTCCCTTCCATCCCACATTTCTGCAGCTCCTGAGAGAGGGGCTGGACCCTCCTGCCAAGAGCTGACAGCCCGTTTACAGAGTGAGCTGCTTCCCTGGGCCGAGTGCTGTGTAAAGGGCTGGCCAAAGCTGTGCTTGTACTCACGGCCGTCCTGTGAGGAAGGCATTCAAGGTTCTCTGGATTGCAGAGGAAGAAATGGAAGCCAGGAGGGTCACCTGCCCGTCTGTTCATTTGTGCACCTGTGGCACAGTCTGGGGCTCAAATGATAACGGAAACAGTAAGAACAGTGGTAGTTTGTATTTACCAGGTACCATGCTAAGCTCATTATATACCACACAGGTGGGCACTTGTACCATCTGAATTTTACAGATGGGTAAACTGAGGCATAGGGAGGCTCAGTTGCTTGCTGAGGGTCACCTGGTTAGAAAGTGGCAGAGATGGAATTTGAACTCAGAGCCCAGCTTCCTATTGCTCTGCAAAGATGCTTCCATAGCCTGCCAGTCATTCGGGCACCTGTCTCCTCTCTAATTCCTGATCAGGGGCCCCTGGGAGAGATGGCATCTCGCAGCACCCAGCAGCTGAGGGGCTCAACATTTGCAGGACTGCATGAGTGGGGTAGGGTGGGGAGTGGAGAGGCTGGCAGAGCTCACCCATGCCGATGTGGTTCTTACAGCCGTCGCACCAGATGTTGTACGGCATCTCGAATCTACAAAGACAGACAATGGCTTATCTGCACTTGGGCTCTCCCTGGCTCTCCACACCATGACTCTGGCTGATGCAGTTGTGCACTGAGGGTTGGGGCAACAGATGCCATGTCTTGATGTAAACTGCTGCAGTCACATTGCAAAGGGCACGGACGGGGAGGAGAAAGAATCGCAGCCACTCCTGCAACCAAGCGGCTCTGCCCTGTCATGCTCACCAGCCGAATGACAGAGTCCAGGTGAGAAGCTCCTTTGGGTGCTGCTGTGTCTTTCATACCTCGCCACATTGGCTAAACAAACTTGAGGGCAGAGGAGGAAGGAGGCCACAGGGAGCTGTCACTGGGCAGCAGTGTCCGATTAGAGTTAAGTAAAGTTGTGTTGTTGCTGTACTTCTTTTTCATGGTTCTTATGATATGTGATTTTGTTTTTCTGTGGACACTAGTGATATTGCTTTCCTTTTAAAATAAAACCATTAAGTCATAAATAATGAGTCGAGTTAAAGACGTTGTACAGATGAGATGAGGGCTCAGCTGACAAGTGAACAGAGGAGGTGTGGGCAGGGCCGAGGTGGGCGAGTTTGGTTGGCTCTGGAGTATGGAGATGTGGTGGGAGTTTTGTGGTGTCCTTCAGCCCTGTGGCCTCTGAGGCCCCTGCTGGAACTCACCATCTTGATTCCTTTTCTACAGATATTCCCACCTCTTGTCATTGGATCTTCTGCTCAGACCCAAGGTAGACCCTGGAGATGGAAGATAGAGTCCACCAGGAAGGAGAGATGGGCAGAGAAGGAACAGTAAGGGGCTCGCCCTTCTGGGGTGACACAAGCTGGCTTCTGTTTCCTGCCACAGACGACCCGACCTGGAATGCTGGCCAGACACAAGAGGAGAACCTGGTGGGAAGGGCCATTTTCTGTCCTGGCTTGACTGCACCAATGACTTTGATCCTTCATCCTCTGCATATCCATGACCCTTGCACTATGACTCTGTGGCACTTTCCTTCAAGAGGTGGAGTCAGTTGCCCCACCCTGGAATCACGAACTACTTTGGGCAACTGATGAGACAGAAGAGACAGTGTGCCAGTTCTGGGTCTCTTCTGGAGCCCTGATGGGGCGCTGTGTGAGCAAGTCCAGGCTGGCTTGCTGGAGGATGAGCCACAACATGGAGCAGAGCCCAGCAGTCTAGGTCAAGGCCCAGCTAGAACAGCCAGTCCCCAGCCAGCCAACCCTGAGCCAGGAGAGAGCCCAGCCCACATCAGCCCAACCCAGCCCTTCCAAAGCCCAGTAGAGCCATCCAGCTGAGCTGCAAACATGTGAACAAAAATCAATGCTGACTGTTTTGTTACGCAGCAGGAGCTGACTGATACAGAGCCTTTCTGCTTTATTATTTATTTTTTGTTACAACCCCACAGCATCGGGCTGATCAGGAGAGGCTGAATTCTCCTTGAGACTGATGCAGGGTGACATGCAGGTGGGGTCCTCAGGTGATGCTGGGGCCTTACCGGATGATGAGGATGCCTTGCGACAGCTTCCGAGCCCGCTCGCGGAGGGGGTGGCTGTTGTGGTATCGGTTGAGAGAGCCATGCTGTGGGGAAAGGACAAGGGAGCAGATTAGTACAGCTGAGCTGGGGACATCATGCTTTCATCATCCCCACTGTGTTGGGACAAGTGCCTCACAGTTGGGGAGATTCCCCATTTTGATGTCCTGCAGGGTGTGTTCACAGCGTACAGGGGCACTAAGGTCTTGGTGAGGCATGTGGGCTTGGAATCAGGACTACATGAGTTTAAATGGTCCCTCTCCCATTTGTGAGCTGATTGATACACTTGCGTGACCCTGGGCAAGTAACCTCACTTTTGCCTTCCTGAGCCTCAGTTTCCCCTATTTGTCAACTGAGGATAACAACAGTCCTTCCTTCCAGGTTTCATGGGGAAGATTAGGTGAGACCACAGTACTGGTAAGCATTCACTGGGTCCTTAGGTGTATCACTGTATTTTAATCCCCCAATGATTCTGTGAGGTCAGGTCATTTTATTTACCCCTTCTGACACTGGGGAAACTATGGCAGAGGAAGGCTGATTCCTGTGCTCAGGACCATGCAGCTTGGACACTGGGGCCCTTACTGAGTACCTACTCTGTGGGGACACAGCCATGAACAAGACAGACGAACATCCCAGCCCTTGTGGAGCAGATGCTCTAGTGGGGGAGACAGAGAATACACAAATAAACGAATGATATGTAAGGGAGTTATAAGGTTTAGGAAGATAAATAAAGCACTAGGTGATATGACAGAGAATGAGACGGTGGTCAGGGTGGATCTCTGTGAGGACCAGTGTGAAGCAGTGTGGTTGGAAAGGAAGAATGGATTCCAGGCAGAGGGGACAATGACGAGGCCAGGACATGGAGCTGGGAGAGCATGGGGATCTGAACCACAGCCTGTGTGCTCCATATCCTCCTGAGCTCTACTACAAACACACGAAACCCAATGCTGGGCAGAATTAAAGGTCACTGAGTGAGGACAGCCCCGAGACTCATGTGGCAAGTGGAAAGCCCTTAGAACCCAGGGGCTGCCCATCCCTTCTGCAGTCACGGCTCTGACTCCAGGAGGGGACAAGGTGCCATGTGGCCCCTGCCACATGGGGTCTCTTTGCAATTGTGGGCATGGAGGAGGAGTTGCCCTTACCTTTTCAGGGTTGAAGTCTGGCGGGTAGTACTTGTTCACGCCTTTCCTCTCGCCCTGGAAAACAGAACACACACATGACTCAGAGAGAGCCCTCCAGGAGAGCCATTCGTGCAGCCTCCGGGGGAAGCACCTGGACCAGGAAGACTGGAGGACCTCTTAGAGGGTGATACTGGGTTCAGTGTCTGATCAGGGAGTGGCCCCCTGGGTGAGAAACCCATTGCTGCTTTGGAAAATTCCATGAGGTTCAGACTCCTACAGAAGTGGCTTTCATGCTTTTACTTGGACTGTGACTGACCATAAAAAACATTTAACAGTGCTACTGCGCAAACACACGTACTGCAGCTGAAGGGGGTCTCATAAAAGAACACTAATGCTAGCTGTCTCTTTTTTTTTTTTTTTTATAAAAGATGACCGGTAAGGGGATCTCAACCCTTAGCTTGGTGTTGTCAGCACCACGCTCAGCCAGTGAGCCAACCGGCCATCCCTATGTAGGATCCGAACCCATGGCCTTGGTGTTATCAGCACCACACTCTCCCGAGTGAGCCACGGGCCGGCCCTGTGAGTCTCTCTTTTTACATGCTGGCAGCTACCCACTGAACTGACTTAAAGACCAGCAAAGCAGTGGTTCTCAGACTTGGCTGTGTGTTACGACCACCTGACAGGTTTCTAAAATATGGATGCCTGGCCCCCCCCTCCCCTCCAGATTCTCCTGACACAGCACCTGCTTTGGAGCGTGGCACCTGGACACAGGGCTTTTAAAAATCTCCCTGGAAAACAGGTGCTCAAATAAATCCTAGTACATGCATGTTCTCATAGCACTATTCACAACAGCCAAAAGATGGAAACAACCCAAATGTCCATCGATGGATAAGCGGATAAACAAAATGTGTCCATCCACACAATGGAATATTATTCAGCCTTAAAAAGGAATGAAGCTCTGATATATGCTACAACATGGATGAATGTTAAAAACATTATGCAAAAACAAAACAAAACATTATGCAGAGTGAAAGAAGCCAGATGTGCAAGGCCACATCTATTCTATTTATATGAAGTATCTGGAATAGGCAAATACGTAGAGACAGAAAGTAGACTGGTGATTGCCAGGGGCTGGGGGCTGGGAAGTGACTTCTGATGGGGATGGGGTTTCCTTTTGTGGAGGATGAAAATATTCTGGAACTAGACAGAAGTGGTGGTTGTACAACATCGTGAATGTACTAAATGTTGCAGAATTATACACTTTAAAATGACTGATGTTACGTGAATTTCACCTCATTAAAAATATATATATATATATCAAAAAAGAAAGAAAAGGAAAAAAAACCTCCCTGGGTGATTTTAGTGCATTGCAAAGTTTCAGAACCACTCAAAGATCATGACCTAGAGTTTGAAGTTACCATCTTAGAGCTCAGTGAGGGGAGGAAAGGGGCTACTCTGGGGTCCAACAAAGACCAGGAGAGAAACCCAGGGAGCACAAGGCTGTCTACTCACCATCTTGGAAGCTGCCTACCGGTCCTCGCCCTCAAGGCAGCCAACCTGAAAGTGGCCTTGTTGACCCGCTGCCCAGTCCTGCCCTCCTGTGGAGCCTGGCACAGGGGCCAGAGGCTTCCCTGCAAAGATGTTGTGAACTATGTGGTGCTGCTGGCTCAGACGAGACTCCTAGGTGTAGAAGGCATCCAAGCATCCATGTGTGTCTGTTTAGAAAAAGAGTGTCCTGTCCACTCTATGGCCAACACATTTTTCATATCTCACACTTTTCATCTCTCCGTGGCCCTGACCTGATCCAGCCCCTATCATCACTCTGCCTGGACCAGTGCAGTCTTCCCCTATCTCCTGGTTCTGCCCTTGACTTCCCCACCCCTATTTGCTCACCTCACAGAGGCCAGAGGGGTATCTTAAATATGAACTGACATGTCGCTATCCTGCCTAAATCCCTTTGGTGATTCCTATCGCTTTTATTGACTGATTGATGGATTGATTGGTGGCTGGCTGGTATGGGGATCCAAACCCTTGACCTTGGTGTTATAACACCATACTCTAACCAAACGAGCTAACCCTCCCATTTGCTTTTAGAATCAAGTCAAGACCCTCCCTATGGCCTGTGGGACACCTGCCTGCCTCTCCAAGCCCAGTTCTTACCCCTCTCCCTCTCACTCGCTCTGTTCCAGCCATGCTGACTTCCTGGCTGTTTTCAAATGCCAAGTACAGCTGGCCTGCACCAGCTGTTTGTCTGCCTTGAATGCTCTTCCACCAGCTGCCTGCTCTTTGTCACAGGTCTCAGCTCAAATATCACCTTCATCAGAGTCCGACCACCTGATCTAAAGTCAGTTCTTCCCCGGAGTTCCGGTCTCACCACCCTGTGTCTGTTTATTTGTCTGCAGTCTGTCTCCCCGGCCAGGTCAAACTGCGCTGCATCCTCAGCACGTAGGACACTGCCTGGCCGCCGATAAGTGCTAACTGGGTGAATGACTGAGATAACTGATAGAGGTTCCATAAAAATCAGTACAGGTGACACAGGCACCAAATGCAGGGGCTACTTAAACTGGGGGCAAGGAGACTCCCCTTCCCCATGTTTGGAGGAGAGACTTTTAGGTAAAATAGAAGGAACTTCTAGTTTACAATAATTTACTATTTTTTTACTATTACTATTTACTATCATTTCCAGATGATGATGAGGACATGGGGGTCTTGAGAAACTTGTGAAACACCAGAAGCTGATGACAGAGCTGGGGTAGTGGTGCAAAAGCCCGGGATGTAAACTGCAGCACTACCCTGAATTGCTCTTCATCTTGGACCCTCCATCTGTAAAGTATGCCCCTTGGATCGGATTTTTCTAAGGACCTTTCCAACTTAAAAATATTTTTGCCAACAAACCAGCCACGTGCCCACCCTGGCTTTGGGGGTCACAACTTCCTGGGCTGAAATCCCAGCTCCACTCCTCACCAGCTGGGTGAGTTCAGTCAGTACCTGAGCTTTCCTGGGCCTGTATTTCCTCATTTGTAAAGAGTGAATGATGACCACAAGACTGACTTTCTGGGGTTACTATGAATGAAGTAACACTGGAAACGCTTGCATAAAGTATAAACTCAGTTTACAGGAGCTTGGGGAGGAGGTGTCTTAAGATGGCTTTATCACCCCAGTGAATAGTACGGACAGGGCTATAGGGTGGATGTACAGACATCTCTGGTCCTTGGTGTCAAGAGTAATTATTAACCCCATTTGTCCTGGGCTTACAGCTTGGGCTCGAATCTCGACTCTGCTGCTTCCTAGCTTCTTGACTTTGAGCAAATTGCTTATTTTCTCTGATTCTCAGTTTCCTCACCTGTAAAAGGGGATTTTATAAAAGTATCAACCTGATAAGGTTGCTGTCAGGACTCGGTGAGTTCAAGTATTCAGAACAGCGCCGGACGCTGAGTTAAACGTCCGCAGTTGGGTCATTTCTCTTGCCCACCGTTTTGCAAACATCGTTCTACACCATCTTCACCACAACCCAGCGATGTAGGGGCCTGCTAGCCCCATTTTCCAGATGAAAACACCCAGGGGCCCTTCAGGCATCGTATGTATCGGAGATAGGTAGGGGGTTGCGGCCGAGGTCCGGGCACTTGGGTCCGGGGTTCGCGGCTGGGACGTGGGCCGGCTCCGGGCATTCGGCCAGTGTCCCCAGAGCTCCACGTCCCCCTGCGCGCCTGTCCACGTCAGCTGGCTCCGAGGCCAGGGTGAGGCGCTGGCCTGACCCCCGGCCCCGCCGGGCCTGGCCGCCCCTCCGCCCACCCGCACCTACCTGCCCTCCTCCCGACGTCACTCCGCGACTGTGCCCGGAAGTGCGCGCTGGCAGCGCCAGGAAGAGCCGCGCCCTCTCAGCGTGACGGGGACGCCGGCGCGAGGCGGGGCGAGGCAGCAG